CTTTCTTAAACCCGAAACCCTAAACCAGATGCTAAGGAACTTTCTGATGCCTCAACTGGCCGGCTAGTAGCTGTACCCCCTGGCGCACGCCAGGTGGCAGACTGAATCTGTTGGGATGTGGGGCTGCGGGTTCAGTTTAGGGTTTAGGGTTTAGGGTTTAGGGTTTGGGTTTAGGGTTAGGATTGAACTAGGTTAGGGTGTAGGTTAAGGCTTGGTGCAGGGTTTAGGGTTTATTTTACGGGTTTAGGTTCAGAGTTGAAAAAAGGTCTAGGGTGCTGCATCACTGAGTTCCCTTTAGGGCTCCGAAGGGTTGTCGATGACCCTGCTCGTGACTTGTTGAGCAGCTGTAAGAACAACAAGACCGATCAAGACTAACTATTTCTTGGTTTGCCGGAAATGGCGCGTGAATGTGGGATGGATAGAAGCCGTTCGATAGATGATCGGCGACAGGCGCAACAAGATGCCGGGAGGTCCGAGTTGTCTGTAGTCTTAGTGGCTGAGTAGGTAACCTTCAACCTTTTGGGGCTCTTATAACCCTACTCTAATTCAAAACGTTAATCTTTTTCGGGCTAGGGTACTCAGCCCCTAAGTAGTTGTACACAGCTACAGGAATTGTAGAGACAGGTTGTCTGACGATTCTGAACTGGGCCTCCAGATTGCAACTTGTTGCGTACGCACCTTGGCAAGGATCAGGTAGGACAGGCTACCCTCACAATCCCAAGCAAATAACCCTCCTTGTCATCAGCACTCTCCAGAACATGTGCAGCCTGAAAGCCCGAGTGCCCCGTGAACACAGCTTGCTCCCTCTGCACAGGCGCTTGTGACAGCCATCGCCCTGAATCCCGGCTCAATAATTACATCGCATTCTCTTGTAGTTTCGGTTTTTGATCCGGTGAGCAATTATCACGAGGCATATAGCGGGGGCGGTTAGAGGCATGAACCTCAGGGATCGCAACATGGAAGGTTGAGGCCCGTAATCGCTTTGCATGGAAGATGACACCTACGTTGGGCTTGAGGCAATAAACTGAAGGAAGCAGCCAATGTAGCGCATGTCGGAAGTCGGTTCTATCGTGCATGACAAAGTGGTCTTAGACTCTCGACTGCCACGTCAGCAGGGCCTTCATTCTTGAATGGGCTTTCTGACTAAAGCTCGCAGGCACGCTCGGGGCCGTGAGCTGCTGGCCGAAGAGGCACCGTTGGGGTCTAGTGCGACCCGAATTCCCCAAACGGTGGTCTAGGATCCAACTGCCAATCTTGCCCAGTCCGTGGGTGAGGTCGTTGGCAGTGAACTATTCGGTTCGGTGATGCCTGCTAGTTTGTTTGCTGCGGTGGGAATTCCACTGTCTCAAGAAAGTCAAACAGTGCTGCAAAATGCACACACGAAGGAATTTCCATCAGACTGACAGGAATGCTCATCGGGCACCTGTATCGCATCGGTTTCAGAAACTTGAAGCATCTCCAAGCCCAGAGTGACGGAACCCTTAACCCTAACGCTGCACCTGTGATTTCAAGGGACCCTGGGTGCTATCACTCTCTCTTTCTGCAAGTTTCCCTGCGTTGCGACATAGTCAGCCCGGCGGGTGGGAAAAAAAACGCTGAACCTGAACTCTACTTGCCCAGCCATGCGCTCGTGCTAGCTAGGTGGGAGGCAAAAAGCCGTGAACTCTACACCCTAAACTCTGAGCCCTAAACCCACCCCCATCCGAGCGTCAGAGCCGACATAAGCATCCCTAAGTCTGTAAACCCTAAGCCCCTAAACCCTACTTAGAGGCCCAGGGGAGTTAGTAAGTAGGTTATCAGTACGGCTATAATTGTGGTAACTCCATTTAGGGTACTTACAACTCCATGTATAACCTACTTACTAAGTCCCCTGGGCCTCTAAGTACCCTTAACCCTAAACCCTATACCCTAAACCCTATACCCTAAACCTTAAACCGTAAATTTTACACCCTATACCCTAAACCCTAAACCGTAAACCAGAATAACCAGAAACACCGAGCCTTGCAAGAGGATGGCGGAGCCGTGAAGGCTGTGGAGTTTCTCGTGGCGCCTCGGCAGAACAAGCTTTCAACTTGCGCAGCCTTGGGTTTAGGGTTTAGGGGTTTAGAGTTTAGGGGTGTAGGGTTTTAGGGTTTTCAGACATTCAGGCGATTGCACAAGTCCTGATGCAAAAAAAGGGTTTAGGGTTTAGGGGTTTGGGGTGAGCACACAGCTTGACTCCTCAACAAAGCCGCTTCGGTAGCGCCTTCGGTTAAGAGATTGCAGGTCGTGGTCTGGCGAGATCATACTTCTGAGAGCATGTACATGCATAATTCTGATCTTACCTCACGGATCAGAGCCTGATCGCGGGACCGAATAGGTTAGGAAACGAACAAAAAATAAGCAATAATTTCGTAACTAAGGCAGTATGGCATAGCTCGGGTTCATGGAGCCCCTAGTGGGGGTTGTCTTAGTTTTGGCCTTACTTGTGGTTGACCCTTACTTGCTGTAACCCTTCCAATAGCCCTTGTAGTAACCGTAAGAGAAGATTCTTTATAGTACAGAAACCCCTATAGCAGCGCGTAAGGAAGCACCAGCCGTGAACAAGAGCCTTTATGGTAGCCCTATAACAAACTACGAAGATTTCGAGCCTTCACGGGGACGAGGAGGCAAGCGGCTGCTTCGATCGCTGCCGTGAGCAAGGTGCTGCTGAGATCATGGCGGCCTGCCAGGAAATGTTAGCCGTTTAGGGTTTTAACCCGACCTCAACCCCCCCAACAACAAAAAACTTACCTTTTCAAAGACGTAGCTAAGGTCAACCCTAAACCCTAAATTAAAAATTGATAGAAAGTTAGGGTCTTTAAGTGATAATCTATAAGTGTACAGAGTATAAGGTTCAAAAGATGGTTTAGGGTTGTGGTGCCCTGCAAGGAGTCAACAAGTTTCTACAGACTTTCTAGATAATACAATGGGGCTTTATCGGGGTACCAAATATAGGGTTTAAGGTTTAGGGTTTAGGGCCTACTGGCGGGGAGCTTCTGGGCCAAGGGAGCGAAAGCTGTTGCTGACCTGCATTGGTTCGAGAAAGCCCCTGAATAGCCAGCATCCTGTTCCTGCTTTCCACATGTACTATACCAGGCTATGATGTGCAATCAAGGGTAATTTTATTATGTGCCATCCGTGTTGTTTGTATGTCTGAACTCCTGTGCGTGTAGGACGACGCACATTGTAGGGAACGGTTGCGCGTGCTATGAAGCGTTGTGCCGTTGTTCTATCTGTCTGCGGGCAGACCGACGCTGTATCACCTTGTTGACTTGACACCTGTTTTTTTTATGAATTGGGTGTCCATCAGTCTGCCAGCTTACTTCAGGGAACCATGGAGCCATATCAAAGGAATCCTCCCGCTAGCTGCAGCAATCAGCTAGCGAGAACCTGCACGTTTGAGATTGGTGTGCTTGGCGTGGAGGGGCCGCTGCTTGCCGCTGCTGCGTCTACCCGGGCCACATGTGGCACCAGTCTGCTCAGCAATGCTCTTGCGTGTATCCTTGTGCTGAGTTCAGTGATGCGCTCTTCGGCGCTCGTACGAGTCTTGATGCCACCGTGGCTCTCCTTCCAAGGACAAGCTGGCGAACTACGGGCAGCTCCAGCGACTTGCTTGCTTGAGCAAGGGTTTGCATCAGGGCGCTACTGCCCGAAAGCGGGGTTTACCTCTATGTCCCATCCATTGCACATGCTCGTGGTAGGCTGGACATCTGCTGGGCATACGCGCTGCTGGGGGATGCCAGCTATCTTCCAGATGCTGAGGTGGGCTGGGCAGTCCTTGAAAACTGTTCGTTCTCTCTACTCACAGAAAACGCGCGAATCCCGAAATCCCAGTCGCAACAGCCGGAACCCTAGGCTTCAACCCTAAGCCCTCAAACTTTCACGCCCCAATCCCAACTGAACGATAAGGCCCTCAAAACGGCCAGAATCCTCAACCAGACAAGCCTTCAAGCTCCTGTATATAACCCCTATCAGCTTCCCAAAAGCTTGAAACCCTATAAGCCTTATGACATGTTGCATCCGATCCCAGAGCCTCTAAGCCCTGAACCTTTACATACTTCTTAAGCCCAAAAGCCTTGCATAAACCTTAAAACCCTCTCCGCCCTAACAACAAGCCGTTCAACACTCTAAGCCTATAATCCCTTGAATCAACCTGGAACCCTATATAGGGCTCTATGATCGGGTTCCCTTTAAGCCTACTATAGTGTCCCCTTTAGCCCTAAGCCCAAAGAGCCCTGAAGCTACCAGAGCCAAGGCCCGTCTCCAGGTTGCAGAGCGCATGATCCGACGACAGGCCTAGGGTTTAGGGATTAGGGGTTACAGGGCTTATGGGATTTAGGGGGTAGATGGGATTAGGGTTTAGAGATTAGGGTTTGGGTTTAGGTTCAGGGTAGGATTTGGGCTACCATGTTAGGTGTCCTTGTGATGTTTTGCTTATATGCTTCCTTAGAAGCGCAGTGCTAAGGCAGTTCAACAAGACAAGATGCCGGATCAAGACGAAAAGTCGACTGGCGAGAGCCACTACAAGATATGGTGCTGTTGAATGTTTGACAACACCAACCGAAGCAAGAAGGATATGTTTCATTTGTTAAGCACCATCACCAGCGAAGCCACACCATACCCACACAGGGTGAACAAGTGGCGCGCAAAAAGAGACAAGACACATGTGACGACGATGCAAGAAAGCGAGTAAACACCAGCAGCAACAACAACAACAGCAACCACAACGACAACAACACCAACACCAACAAAACCACCACCGCCGCCGCCGCCGCCACCACCACCACCACCACCACCACCAGCAACACCACCACCACCACCACCACCACCACCACCACCACCACC